CATTAGATTGGGCTAAAAAAACTTTAAAAAAATGTCAAAAGATTGTTTCCTTTTTTCATAAATCACATTGTGCTGGAGCTGCATTACGTGAAGAAATAATCAATTCATTAGTATTTGGTGGGAATTTAAAATCATCAGTGAAGACTCGTTGGAGCACATCTTGGGATGTTTGTGAATCAATTTTACGCCTTGAAACAAATATTAAATTTGCAAGTATTTTAAATTTATCTTTTATTTTTTTATAAATTATACAATGATCTAACACTCATAATTAAAGGTGGTTGAAGAACAACCTGAAATCTTTGTAAATGCAAATGCCATCAAGGTTATCCTTCAAAATCGTGAATTCTGGCATGATGTTGAACAATTAAAAGTAATAATTGGTCCAGCAAAACGTGCAACAAAGGATCTTGAATTTTCAACAACTACTTTATCTGATTGTTTTTTAGAATTGATAAAATTAGCAAGTGAAATATCAAAAATTCCTATTCAAAATGCAGATCTTAAACATTCATGTATTGCAATATTTAATAAAAGGTGGAGTGAATTCGATATTGATATTTATATGTTAGCATTTTTCTTAAACCCTAAGTACCGTGGTATGTATGACAAATTTTTTATTTTCAAATTTTTTATTTTAATGATATTTATAACTCATCTTCTTTTTATTTATATAGCATCTTGCTTTCAATATAATATTTTTAGAAATGTATCAAAAACTGCACTTAGTATTTGGAAAAATCAAGGTGGTGGTAAAACAAGCTCTGATCTTTTGTTAGTACAGCTAAGTCTATATAGAAATTTTGAAGAACCATTCAATGAAATCTATTTAGATGGTATTAATACTCCTATAAATTGGTGGACCTCTTTGGAACTTAAAAAAAATGAGGATTGCATTAGAGTACTTGCTTTAAAATTACATTCCATTGTTCCTCATAATGGGGCATGTGAAAGAGTATTTTCTGTGTTGGGATGGTACTTAGGAAAAAGAAGAACAAGGTGAATTTAATATATTTATATTTATTATAGCTTTTAAATGCAAAACATTGAAATGTAATTTTTTTTACAACAGAATTAACATTGAAAGGTTGCAATCCATAGCACAAATTCATTCTTATCTTGTAACAAATGCAAAAGATGAGTTGAAATACTTAAATGAAGAAATTTCAGTTGAAGAACTTGATGAAACATTTAACCAAATTGCTTTATCAATTACCAATGGAAATGATCTTTTTGGACAAGATGATAATCTTGAAGATGTTAGTCATCTTGATGATAATTGTGATGAAGAGGTTATAAATTTGGATGGTGTTAATGATAGCCATTTAATTATTACTGAAAGCATTGATTTGAATTCAAGTTTATTGTCTAATAATAATATTTTATCAAATGAAATTTATGAAGAAAATGATATTGATCATGGAGATACAAATTTTGACATTGATGAATTGTTAGATAATCATAATTTTGATTAATGATTGTATTCTGTTTGTAATTACAGAATTATTTCTCTTTTTAATTGTTTTTATGGTTTTAACAATTTTTATTGATGATAAAATTTTTTATTAATAAATATACAATATATTTTGTTAATTCTATCAATGGGATATGGGATATGGGATATGGGATGGGATATGGGATTAGGTTGGGGTTGGATGGGATTGGATGGGAGTTGGATGGGATGGGATGGGATGGGATTTTAAGAATTTGAGTATGGGCGGCAAGTATAAACCAAACCAAACAAAAACACTCACGTTTTGTCACCTTGGACTCTGTCAAAAAATAAATTGTTTTTCCAAAAAAAAAAAAAAAAAAAAATCAATTCACGTCTGTCCAGCGCACAAAAGGTACTCTAATTTGCCAGTTTTTTCCGGCAGAATTTTCATTCTTCCAGTAAATCTTTTAATTTTATTATTTATTTCTGACGATCATTTTATATTTTCATCCATTTCAGAAGAAAATTTTATGCGCTGCGTCTGTCCTACCAAAAAAAAACCAATAGAATAAATAATTAATGTGTATGCATCGATCAAATAACAAACTTCTTTTCCAAAAAAAATGGCCAACAGAATTAAAAACTCGAATAAAAGAAGCAAAAAAAAAAATAAAGCTGATATCACTGGGTAAGTGTTTTTAAGGATGGTGGTGGTGGTTATCGCCCACCACTCGTCATCACTCTAGATATATATAAAATAATATTGTGCATAGATTAAAATTAAAAATTTATTTGCTTTTTAGTGAATCCTCATTGTATAAAAATATTGATCAAGTAATAATTAGATTATATTTTGAATGATAATACTGCTGTTCAAGATTATGTTTTTATTTTTAATTGGATTTATAATATAATAATGTCTTTTTAAATAGGAAAACAATGTTGCACCCAAGATAATTCCTCTTTTTGGATCAGTAAGTATATTAAAATTATTTGAATTTGAATTTGAATTAAACTATATTAATATCTATATTTAAAGAATGTTATGGAGTGATTGACAAGTGGCAAAAGTATTCAAGATCTTATGTTAAATATTTTTAATGATTCTAAAGAAAGGCAAGTTTCATCTATTTTATATTATATATAATAAAGATAAAGCTAATTTTTTCTTTAAACAATAGAGATGTGGTGAAAATGGCAGTTCTAAATTTGGAAGATAAATTATTTCTTGAAAATCCTTATTTAAAGATAAAAAGCAAATTTCAATTAAACTTGGACTTAATTAAAAATAACCAAATCAATGAAAATGTTTTATCTTATATTAATAAACTTTCCAAGATAAATAACATGGATCATGGATTTGAAATTATAAGTGAGCTAAGTGCCAAAAACTACCAATCATTAGATGATATTGATTCTATTTAGGGTTTGTATTCATGGATACCGTAAGGAGGTCACACAGGGTTGCATACTATTAAAATCAAGTGTTTTTAAGGGAT